GCGGCAAGTAGGCTAAACAGATACCTTTCGCAAAAACAAATTAACTTTAGCGCACCATGGCAGAACTTTCGCGAAGGCATATTCAGCTATGCAGTTGTCGCTTCATATAAATTATGCCACAAGGAGCTTTAGATCAACTACCATGTATATGTATATGTATATGTGTGTGTGTAACTGGCATACCGCGTGACAAAGGTGTTCATGAAAACACATGGCATGCATTCACTGCGTTTGAAATACACACAGCCCTTCACTACCCTGGCAATCTAGTACAAACTCGCGATACACAAAGGGATGTCCGTGGACCAACGCCTACATAGCTACATCACATAATATGTCAACATGCCTCATGTTAGATCGAGTTCGCCCTCAGGATCTAGACATCTGTCTCTGCGATATATGATCGTAGAAGAAGATCGGTCATGCCATCGTTAATCTGATACGTCTCAGCAACGATGCTAACACTTGCCACCTGAACCTTTCCTCTCACACCCCAGCAACTGTTGAAAGTGTTCGAAACAAACCAATTTCACACTTGTGCCGAGATTTCGGCAGCATGCAGACGCAAAACACTGCTGTTTGCCGTCTGACCAAGAACTTACTTAAGGGCCTTATGGGTTCTTTCGCATGTTGCCGGCGCATAGAGTCACCCGTGGTGACTTGTTGACACCAACCTTTCCAGCAAACCTCGGGCGACCGCTTGAAGTGCTTCAGGTGTAGCGTCGGTGCTGCGTGCAACGAATGCACAATCGTTTTGAAGAGTTTACTCTGAAGCTCCATCCGGTTCCTACTTTAAAGCCGTCCAGAATAGAGAGAAAACACAACAAACCCAAAATGTCAGCATTAAGCATTCAGTAAGACTGTATGGTCTGGGGTTCAGGAAGTTTAGGGTTGTCCCGCTGAGACTTGTGTGACTCGAAACGGAGCAAGCCTCCAACCTGCGCTTGTAGCTTTCCAGCTGCGTCTCTGCATTGTAGAGCTTGTCGCGGAGCTGTCAGGGGAACAGTCTTGTTTATTTCGGCAACTCCTAATCCAGCAGCACAGCCACAAGACAGTCTGCCTCGGCAGTTCGGCAGTGATGAAAACCATGCACGGAATATGCTATGATGCTTCCATGCCTCACGGGTTCCTTTGACTTCCAACTTGAGCTCCTGGCTCACGAACAGCAATTCAAGCATCTGGCAACTAGTTCAGATGTCGTAGCTTCACGATGCCCGTTCTTCCTGGACCCTCGGAGACTCGCGTGACTACGTGTGGTTGCACTCTTGAAGCAACGTGTCGCCTTGATAAACGGAGGCGCTGTGTCGCCGGCAGAGAGAAGGACGGACAAAGGCCTGCCACTTGATGCCACACTTCAAGACGCAACAGACTCATCTGCAAAATTCGGTAATTCCAACAATGACAAGACATCTGCAACGCGGTGGCATTAGGCTCCACGTCAGCCTGGGCTTCTGGAGAGCTTCTTCGCGAGCCGACTCCTGCTTGTAAAGACATGTAAAGCCAACCTTCTGGGGCTGCTGGCAGATTGCATGCCATGAGCACTCTGAACTGTGAACATAATCTGACAGACTTGCTATAGGTCTTGAGCCGGCGGATTTCTCACAGGCGCATTTTGACCACCCGGCCAAGCCGCTATTTCCAGACTCCTTACGTGCCTCTATAGGTCCGGTGAGTGGGCGTTCTAGTCCTGTGGTTGGAGGTGTTCTGGTCTAACGGATCTGCTCCTGCCGGCGCAGGGCATCCAATTCCTGCTGCAGGGTCTGCCGCTCCTTGCCGGAAAGGGGTGAATGCTGGATTCTTCGAAGACCCTGCTGTAGCCGAGAGTTTCCGGTCTCGTTGCATCTTAAACACTGCGCAACTGCCCGCCCGATGCAAAACATTTAATGCAATGTTACTTGCTCATTGTCGCGGAGTTACATGCCTACGGGGTAGGTAGATCAATGGACAGGCTCGGCTACCTGGAACCCGGCAGTTGTACTGAGATGGACATCCACAAATTTGCAGCAAACCATGGTCAGATACGGTGAAGTGCCGGGCGACTTCTTGCTTGAGCCTTTCCGAGCTCCCCAAAATGCTGAGGTTTAGTATCGTCGCAATGCGCTACTCCCAGAACCAGTTTTGGCATTGATCTCGGCGAAGATAGTCATGGACGTCTCGGTCATGCCTTTACTTCGGCTACGACCCGACATGTGCTGATGTATGGAAACTGTGTTCAAGGACATTGAGAGGTCAGATGCATTTCTCTCGGGGGCTCTTCACCCGTAAAGAGAAGGCTCTTTCGCTCACATGTGGTCTCGGTGACCAATAGATGCCCATGCTCCATGATTTCATGTCTGCCCTGCAGCCTGCTCGGATGCGAACAGCCTCGACCTCGTGTCAGGACAAACTGCGGCCGCACTAGGCCAAGGCACACTATGCAGTTACTGCCATCAGCTGCCTGGTTGCAGTACCCTTTTTAGAGTAAGCCGCCTTCCTCCAGATCGAAACTGTGGCGCCTTCCCATCACGACACTCTTTGGGTCGTCGGGCTGGAACAGTCGGGTCTCTTCAACCTGTATTGCAACCTGCCTTCCAGGCATGGGCGACGGGCTCGGGCTTTCCAGTGCCGAGAGAAGTGTGCAATAAGCCGCCCAGCCCATGACCATGGCAACGGCAAAGGGCTGGGCTTGGCTCACGCCCTCTGCCTTGGCATCGTAGAGGGAGGAGTAAAGTAGACTTCCCAGATTGGAAGCCCCTCCAGCTATGGCAACCACCACCGACTGGGCCTTTCCCTGATCCTCTGTGAATCTTTCCGCCAGTAAAGCCGAGGAAGCAGCGATGGTGCAGGCCCCAGCGGCCTGCAAAAAGGCGGCAAAGGCGCAGAAGAGGGATCCCAAGGGTGCGAAGAGCAGCATGGAAAGCGAAATGGCCCCCATCAGGGTGCATCGTTCCACGACCGTCTCCACAGAGTACCTGTCGACGAACCAAGGGCCTGCTAGGGTGGAGGTCGCACTTATCATGAAGAAGACTCCCATGGCTCCTTCCAAGGTCCCCTGGCGCCAGTCATAGGCTGACAGCACAAAGCTTTTCAGAAGCGACATCACACTGAGCCCGAACAGCGCCAGGAACTTCGCAATGCACCACCGCAGCAAGAACGGGTTCTGTATCGCGAAGTAGAGCGCTGCGAAGACGTTTGGAGAGGAAGATGCAGGATTCAGGCCTACAGGTCGAGACTCCTCAATGCGACAGGCGACCACTGACCCAAAGGAAAAGATAGTGAGTAGAGCCACCCACATGAAGGTGTAGTCCACGAACTCTTGTCGCAAGATGGCCACACCAACAATCCATCCAATCAGCTGCCCGGCATTCGCAAAGATGATCTTTACTGTAAACGAAACACTCCGATTTCCACCACAGTCTCCGAGGATTGCATGGAATGTTGGGAAGAAGGCGGCAGAGGCGCTGGAACAGGCGAACGCAAGAAACCTCAACGCAATGACATCCTGGCTAACCAAATTGAGGAGGAGAAACCTCGGCTGAGGACTCGCGCTTATGTCCTTTGCTTTGGCGCCGTCGGAGGTGGACTACACAGAACAGCTGCCTACTGTAGCATGCGAACCGAGCGACAGAAACGTGGCCAGGATGCTAGTGCGCAAAGCAGGCAGGCGACCATGTCGGTCACTGACTGCCCCAATCACTGGAACCACGAACATGCTCATGATACCTGACAAAAGCGAGATTCACCACGATGCTTCGGAACCGACGCGGCAGCAATTCATCAGCACTCTCTCCTGGTGTCCTAGCAAGTGTCCTCCACGGTGTGAGGGATGTTTGCCACATGCTGGTTTAAAAACAAGTTGCATACCGCGCGCATTCGGGGAAGGGGTGGGACATCGTACAACGTCTCTCAAAGGCCTTTGCAGTGAGGGACTGTGCTCTGAGGTCCGGTGTTGAGCTGTTGAGTGCAAAACCTTCGGAAGCTCTCCAGCCTTCAGTGGCGGACAGCATGGCTGACTGTCTCACAGCAGACTGCACGACGTACTTCTTGTCACCACAGAAGGAGCTGCCTCGCGACCGCAGGAGGGGAGCCCGACCTTTCAAACTCCAGGCCTCGGGCACTCCAGGTGGGCGAGCCTGAGAAAATCTCGCCGCCAGCTTCGTCGCACTTGATGAACGAGCGCAGCACCGGATCCATCAACATGTGCCTTAGGACCCGGACGTTGGTTTTGTTGGCGATGCTGCAATGTTCAGGGTACTTCACTGCAGCACCACGGCGTTGCTACAAATAGTGCCTTGGGCGTTGCGGGCCTAAGGTCTGTGTCGTGCCAATGTTCTCTCACGCGAAGCTTGGGATGAGCACAGCTTCACCCGACGACTAAGGCCAAGACATGCCAAGACCATTAAGGCATGCCGACTCAACCCCAGGCCTGAACTGCGAGACACCCCGTCAAGTTCCTTTCAAGGCACCTCAGAGTAAAAACGATATTGAAGAGGCAGGCAGTGATGAACACGGGCCAGGCTTTCACGAAGCTTGCTTCCACTTCGGTCCGCCATTTCGACTCAGAGCTGTTCGTCATCCGAGTTCCGATGCTCATGGCACATGGCGGCACAGGGCTAACTTCTACTTGCCCCTAAATTTCGAAGCTCGAGGAAGCTGTGTGCTGAGCTATCGCCCCGAGCATGTCTCCAGCGTTGTTGCGGTCACCGTGTTCAAGCGACCTGACATACGGCAGATATGCTCGTAGCTAGGGCGGCTATTCCAAACACTATACAATGGCAGAATCTCCCTTGCTTTGCATGGATGACTCGACTGCATGTTCTGCCCCGCTGGAGAGAACATGCCACGCAGCCATGCAGCTCCGCCCTCTGGTCACACCACCGCTCAAAAACGGGTCAACAGATGACAGCGCACATCATCCTGCATCGACAACAATGCGCAGCCAGGTGCTAAGCAATCCCTTGCATTGTCTACCTTCTCCACAGACATAAACTTAACTGAAGAGCAATTGGTGTACTTTCACATGGCAATGTAGGAGTTTCTTCTGGCAGTGGCTGCGAATGCTGGGCACTGTCGCAGGGTGTCCTGGACTGCCAAGCACATCTGAAGCAGCGTGCTCGATGTGATACAGCACGCAGCAGACAGGAGGATGCTAACCTCGATCCCATCTGAGCGCTGCACTCCAGGCGCTCTATCTGGCGACGATGCTGGACCTGCGCAAGCTGACCATACTTCAACCCGAACAGCCTGCGGCGGAGAGCAGGACCGACTTACCAAATGCAGTCTTAGCCGGCCCACAAATCGAGATGTCATTTGAAGAGCTTCGGTTCTGCAGTGTAACAGATGCACCTCGACAGGGCCGAGACCCGGCGCGTGCACCTGATGCAAGTGCCCAGAGGGCTTCTCACATTGCTCGCCGCGAGTCGTTCTCCCGGCTACGGTGACACAAGCATTGCCCTCATGCTCGAACAAATTGTGCGGAGGTGATTGCAGCTGCAGCGCTGTCAGGCTGTTCACCAAGCAAGAAATCGCCACCCTAAGCTCTGAATCCCTACCACGCTCTGCAACAGCAGGCTCTTCTTCGTAGTGTACTTACAATATCTTCGTCGGCGACGGGACGACGAGGACGGAGGCAGCAAAGACAGCGGGTGCTGGTACTGAATAAGACCACTGCCACGAAGACGGTCGTCTCCTGACTCTCGCTCTTAATACCTCGAGACTTGCCTCAAGGCTCTTTTGCTCTCATTGTGATCCGCCTCGCGGGAGCCGCTGTGAGCGTGGCTTTGTGTCTGTCTCGCATCCGAAGCCTCCAAAGCCACAGAAAAGGAAAAGGACCATAAAGTCATCCGCATCATGCTGCGAACAACACAATTTCATCACATCGCCGCGCTGCCTATGCACTGTTGAAAACATGCTCTTCGCACCTTGTGACCACGAGGAGGGGAGGCGACCTTTAGACTCGGCCGAGAAGACAAAACTCCGGAGATCTGACAAAGTCAAAATCAGATGACATGCTAACCACCCCCGGCTTGGTCTTCAGATCAAGAAACAACACAGACTGGATGCCCAGGCCTCTTCTGCTCTGCGGAAGGCTCGCAAGAGAGCCTCGCTCGGGTCGGCGGCACTCTTTCGAAGACTCAGATGACCGCACGTTCCTCAAAAGTTAAAGACCTGGCTATGGCGGCTATGGCGGCTATGGCTGCATTCATTGCACAGCACAGCGCCTGCGGACTCCAGAGGACTTGGATGCGACCATGCTCAGCTACAATCGTACTTACTCCAGCCATCCGCGAAACCAAAACGGTACGGTAAAATGGTTTCGTGAAGCTGCTTTGCGGTGCCTCCTTGTGAAAGAAGCCTCGCTTGTCCAGATTGAGAGCGTGGGCTAGCTTGGCAAAGTCGTCGGCCTGGACACTGAGTCCGCCAGTAGCTCGAGCAGTGGCCGGGCAGACTAACATCAAAGCGACGCAAGCAACGAAACGCTCTTCATCTGTGCATCGGCCTGCAGACTCAAGTGGTGCCGACTGCATGCTGCTTGGAAGGCTTCGAAGGACACCTTGCCGTGCCTCGGAGGGTGGGGGGGAAAATAACTATTAGGGAGTTTTCAAGATAGTCAGTGTTGGGTGTTGCTGTGTCTTCTTCATTTTCTATTTTTCATCATTCTGTCCTAACTGTTCTCTGTTGTTCCACCTTTGACATTCCTTGTTCCTCATTCCTACATTTTATCAACATATCCACCTCACTCGTTTTTCCTCTCTCCTATGCCTACATTGTCACCTTACTCGATTTCTCTCTGACTCTATGACTCAAAAGGACGTATCGCCCCCTCATGCGTGTTTCCTCTCCTCGATCTACTCGATATGATGTGGAGGTCATTACGACATGATGACAAACTAGTATTAACTGATACTGAAAGTATAAGAAGTGATGATGATACGAAAGCGAACAAGAAAGGACACAACGGTTTTCACAATAAGATGAACAAAGACAGTGGTTACTTTAGTAGGAATTTTTAAAGAAGACGACAAATGCTATGTACGTGAACGATGTGGGTGTTCAGTTAAGAGTTATACCAATAAGTCAAGACACTGGAAAACTGACAAGTGCAAACGATTGGTTGGAGAGAGAAGACAGGATGAATTAGGTAATAAAACCATTGAAAAAGTTTTAGGAACAATAGCATAATTACTATCAAATTTGAGTCGATATTAATTCTGGGTAAAAGGCAGGTTCTGAAGAGACCATACTATGATTTAGATAGTGCTAAGAGTTTGTATGATGATGCAAGAAAAGACTGATTGGTTGTGACATTGCAGGAGGTTAAAGACTGGGTCGGGAAACAATCAATAAATCAACGAAGAGCATATAAGAATTAGAATAGTTATTCTCCGCCTTATGCTCGTGCGGTGTGTTCTGCCGATATAATGGGATATGATTAGTTTGATGAAAGGCACTTGGCCACATTTAAGGAAGATTATGCAAGATATGCATTAGTGTGTATTGATAATTTAGTAAAAAAGCACATGTCGTTGTCATGGAAAATATGGAGATGGTGAGACAGTCTATCATGCACTTATAGAATGTTTCAATGTGTCAGGTTACCCTGAAAGTATACAGTGTTGATGATGGAGCATTTAAATACAATCAAGTTCAAGATTGTTTGAAAGGAGAAGGAATACTGCGCCGGTCCGAAAGTTCGTCGCACTCTATGTTGTTGACTTGCAACAGACCTGTCCAGGACCCCTTCCCCTTAGACTCCTCCACAAGTCCTCCGCCCGGAACAATTATAATATTATAATTTCATTACGGGATGTCACTTCCTCCG